TTGCCTTCCAAAATGCAACACCTCACATTTATCTAAATTAAACTCCATCTGCCACTCCTCAGTCCATTGGCCCATCTGATCAAGATTCCATTGTACTCTGAGGTAACCTTCTTCGCTATACACTGCACGTCCAATTTTGGTGTCATCTACAAAACTACTAACCTATGTTCACATCCAAATCATTTATATAAATGACGATAAGCAGTGGACCCAGCACCGATCATTGTGGCACACCACTGGTCACAGGCCTCCAGTCTGAAAAGCAACCCTCCAACACCACTGTCTGTCTTCTACATATGCAACTCAAAACATTTGCAGTGAAGGGGAGAACAGCAAATGTTAAGCAGGAACAAAAACAAATGATAAATTAGAATGGAAACTAAAATCTCGTTAAAAAGAGGTTTGAAAGTAAATAGAGGTGGCAACATGGTAACAATAACTAACGGAAAAAGTGGAGCAGAACGGTCAAGAAGCAGTGTGTCACAATTGCCAAAAGACTTTCCACCGGTTTTGTAGTGGGAGTACCTGTCAGCCAAATGCTAAAGTGAAGGATCCTCCACAGAACACTTGGGATCAGAATGAACATTGCTAGGAACTGTGTTTCTCCTTAACCAGACCTTAATCAGACTGCAGAAACATTAATATGCAAACAGTTTGAAATAAATAGTTCAGAATAGTGAATTCAATTAAGCAAAGGGAACAAATTTAACAGGGGAAGAGAAAGATGGAATTGAGAGAGAGAGAATGAGAGCGAGAACAGGAAATTGGACAAGTATTTAGTTAAATCATCACCAATAACGTAATCCTGTAGGGCAAGATACAACACTTGTTAAATGTAATTTTCAGCGTTATTGATTTGGCAGTGGTTAAGTCTAGGACATAACCTAATGCTTTTATTTTTAAAAAGAGAGATTTTTTAAAAATTCATTCATGGAATGTAGGTGCCAACGTTTATTGCCCATTCCTAACTGCCCTCAAAAGTGAAGCGGTGAGCGATCTTCTTGAACCTTTGCAGTAAGTAATTTCATAGGGCTTTTCAGAAGCGAGTTCCCGGATTTTGACTCAGAGACAGTGAAGGAACAATAAAACAGTTCCTGTTAAGGCTTGGATGTGGCTTAGAAGGGGTGTTACAGGTGGTGGTGTTTCCACGCATTTGCAGCCTTCATCATTCTAGGTTGTGAAGCAGGACTTCTCAAGTTGGGTGTCAGGACTCCAAGTGGGTTCGCAAACTCACAGGCAGTATTGGCCACATGGACCTCTGACTGAACAACAAATTACTTTATCCCATACTAACAGAAGCTCCCATCTTACACAGGACCTCCTTGCTCTCTCAAGTCTCACTCCTGCAGGATTGGAGATGGTAACTGGCACTTGGCATTCGAATGACAAATAACATTTAACTGCACATCATAGACGTTGTCTCAATCTTGTTACATTTGGTTACAATCTGCTTCAGTATCTTATGACTCACAAATGTTGAGTTTAGCATATTTGATTTGATTTTGATTTTATTGTCATATGTACTCAAGTACGAAAGTATAGAAATACAGTGGAAAGTGTATAATGTCATCACATAAGGTGCCATCTTAGGTACAAGTACCTAGATACAGTATCTTAAGAATGAGGTAGAAAGAAAGAACAAAAGGTAAAAGTTAAACATTGCAGTAATTACAATATAGTGTAAAACATACAAAATAAGATTAAAAGTCATACATTGCAGACCTTCTTAGTTTTAAGTAGAAAATAAAGAAACAAAGCACAAAGTTCAAACATTGCAGTCTTTCTTAGTCCTTAGCCACAGTGGGACAGCACTTTGAGAAATCATCTTGAGACCTGAAGTCCATACCAAGATCAGACAGGCCCCGAGACACTACCACGTACCACATGTAATTCAGCAGAGAAAAGCAACATCAACTACTGAACATAAAATCACACCAATTGATTTGGAGTGAGGGTTCAGATATTTTGTGATCAAAGGCTATAGCCTCTGTGTGAGAAATACTGGGAAAAATCTAAAATAGGAGACAATCCATTGCAAATTAGCCACATTCACTATTAGTCATTTGTTATTAATGTGCATTACTTGTGAAAAACAAATGATGACATACAGTGTGTTTAGTAATATTTTGAATTTAGTAGACCTTAAAGTATTGTTTTCTGGAACAATACATCAACAACTGACATGGGAAACATTTAAAAAATACTGCCTTACTTTTGGTTGTTTGTACAATTTTGCTGCAGTTTGTTAAAAAGGTATTTTTAAAATTACAAAAAGAAAAACATAATAGATGTAGACAAAGCCTTTCTTATTTTTAAAAATTTTCATTCAGCCAAAAAGAATTACAGTAATAGAAAGACATTTTGGACCAAGGTAAGCGGACACAGGGAGGGTAACAAGACAGACCCAATATTTATTTTTCCTATTCATTTGTGGGATGTGGGTGCTGCTCGCTGGCCGGCCAGCATTTCTTGCCCATTCCTAGTTGTCCTTGAGAAGGTGCCCTTGGTGGTGAGCTGCCTTCTTGAACCGCTGCAGTCCTCCTGATGTTGGTTGACTCACAATGCTATTAAGGAGGGAATTCCAGGATTTTGACCCAGTGACAGTGAAGGAACGGTGATATATTTCCAAGTCAGGATGGTGAGCGACTTGGAGGGGAACTTGAAGGTAGCGGTATTCCCATATATCTGCTGCCCTTGTCCTTCTAGATGGAAATGGTCGTGGGTTTAGAAGATGCTGTCGGAGGATCTTTGGTGAACTTCTGCAGTGCATCTTGTAGATAGTACACACTGCTGCTACTGAGCATTGGTGGTGGAGGGAGTGAATGCTTGTAGATGTGGTGCCAATCAAGCGGGCTGCTTTCTCCTGAATGGTGTCAAGCTCCTTGAGTGTTGTTGGGGCTACACCCAGGCAAGTGGGGAGTATTCCATCACACTCCTGACTTGTGCCTTGTAGGACAGGCTTTAAGGAGTCAGGAGGTGAGTTACTTGCCACAGTATTCCTAGCTTCTGGCCTGCTCTTGTAGCCACTGTGTTAATGTGGTGTGTCTAGTTGAGTTTATGATCAATGGTAACCCCCAGGATGTTGATAGTAGGGGTTCAGTGATGGTAACACCACTGATGTCAAGGGACTATGGTTAGATTGTCTCTTATTGGTGATGGTCATAGCCTGGCATTAGCGTGGCGCGAATGTCACTTGCCACTTGTCACCCCAAGCCTGGATATTGTCCAGATTTTGTTGCATGTGAACATGGACTGCTTCAGTATCTGAGGAGTCATGAATGGTGCTGAACATTGTGCAATCATCGGCGAACATTCATACTTCTGACCTTATGATGGAGAGAAGGTCATTGATGAAGCAGCTGAAGATTTTTGGGCCTAGAACACTACCCTGAGGAACTCCTGCAGAGATGTCCTGGAGCTGAGATGATTGACCGCCAACAACCACCCTCCTATGTGTCAGGTATGACTCCAACCACCAGAGAGTTTGCCCCCTGATACCCTTTGATTCCAGTTTTGCTTGGGCTCCTTGATGCCACACTCAGTCAAATGCAGCATTGATATCAAGGACTGTGACTCCCATCTCACCTCTGAAATTCAGCTCTTTTGTCCATATTTGAACCAAGGTTGTAATGAGATCAGGAGCTAAGTGGCCCTGGCAGAATCAAAACTGGGCGTCACTGAGCAGGTGCTGCTTGATAGCACTGTTGATGACAAGTTCCATCACTTTAGTGATGAATATTAAGTTTAAACCAAGGATCAAAGCTTATGAAGTGGGTACTGTTAAGTTCCTTTGGCTGATCATACAAGTTGATAGGCTGTGATATTCAGCAACATAAATGGTCATAAGCAGGAACACCAACTTAACTACTCAAACAGAAACTGCATCTGCAATATTTCAAATCTATTTGTTTCAAAGTCATGAAAAGAACTTTTTCAGCAGACTTTCATAAAAATGTGGTTCTAAAAATATATAATTAGTTACTCCAAGCAGTTAATATGTTTGGTTTTTCTCATGTAGTTCACTACTTTCTGTAACTGTATTTTGCTTAAGCTTTATATTTCTGCCAAGAGGCTTATTCATCATGCTTAACTATATTAAAACAACTGCATAGCGTGCAACATTTTCCACAGAGTATATTTGTTGCAGATGCATGCAATATCTTCAAGTATGGTACAGTTAGGAATGAACTGTAAGCATTTCCTGTGCAAACTGTACATATGCCAATATTGCACTATAGCATAAGAACATGGCATGTTATACGAGGTACAAAATAACAGGCTGACATCCGTCATCAGCAAACATGAAATATACATTTTTGGATATCAGATTTAGCCACAGATATTTGAATTGCAAAATTTAAAAAATTAAAGTTGAGCGAAGAGAATGAAGGCGACTATTCAACCAAACTGCACAAAAAAATTGGCTTTACTTTCCAGAAACAAAATAATCTCAAAAATTCATTATTCAACTAAAGCATGGCAATTTTTCATAATACAGAAAAGCATCTAACAACAGAGTAGAAGCATTGCTGGTACATGTAAGATATTGTTCAAAAACATCAAGGCACAAATTTACAAAAGCAATGTTTTAAATGGGCCATTCAAGATAATTCTTAGTTGATTATAAAGACATTGTAAATTGAGACAGCGAAGGTTATTTAAATAATGTATAAGATTAGATAGGATTATATAGATAATGTTGAGAGACTGAGCTCTTGGTTCCTGCAATGTGAATGCATTGGGCCCTTAAAATGAGTTTCCCAAAGATCCAGATTATATTTAGACAACTGCAAAGCCAGAGAGTGTAGATGAACAGCATAAACAAATGGATAAGTTTATATGTCTGAAAAGGTAATATCAGAAAGGAAAAAAAGGATCTGCTACGCAATTTTTTTGGAAACACCGTTAATGCAAAAATTTTGACAGATAAACAATTCAAACACAGATGATGGTGAATTAACAAATGTGAAAGAAAATCTAACTGATACATAGACACTTACCCTGGCAAATTCCAGAGAGACTGGGTGCTACAGGAGGCAAAAAGAGTAGGCCATCAGTCAGGATAACAGAAGACATCTTGCTCTACTATAATTTCCTTGCTGTGATGCAAAAAAACCTTAAATCTGGTAACTATTAAAAGTGAATAAAATAGGTGCCAAACTGGTTAAGAACTTTCTAGCAGGGCAAAAGTTGAGACAGCAGTACAAATGAGACAACTAATGGGGAATTTTAAAACTGGAGGAGATACAGCACAATGGCAAATTTTGGAGCCATTCATGATTCAACATCATGCCTGCTGGAAACACCAAGCTCTCCCTGGAGCTTTCAAATTTAGCACTTGTCTGTGCTGCGTTAGCAGATGTCTACTAAGTCCAAGGTGGAGCTATAAAATAGTTAAGACATATATGACCACATTTCCAGATACACTTAAACCCTCTGCAAAGGTCTTAAGAGTCTAAAAATGTATTACACGTTAGCCAAACATGTAATGCAGATCATGAAGTTATAACTGCATTTACTTTGCAACTCTAACTTCACTATAAACTGGTTTGTTCATTTAAATGCAAAGTTCAAGTCTGATACATTTTTGAAGAATTCTAAGAGGATGTCCATTGGATCTGTGAAATTTTTTTTTTCGAAACACCCAGAATTCTTAAGATGTTCAGTGCATTAACTCCTATTTGCACAGTGTACAAGCTTTGGGTCATTTTAGTTCAAATTAGACCATAAGCCATAACTTGCTGTCCCAGGTCATCAAAGTGCATCTGCTGTGAATTAGCCTTGACTACACACTGGTAGGCTTTTTTATTTTCTCTGTGATAAGTTGATGAGCAGCTGAGAGAATGGAGTATCTGGCAATAACTGGCGAAATGAAACTTCACACTTATAACTGTTCATGTTCAGAGCAGAGAAGCTGACTAGCAGTAGTTGGAATAATATTAAAATGGTACCTCGTCTGAAAGGGAAATTACTTCCCTTTCTATGGTGAGTGCAGTTTCTACCTATCATGCAGATAAAACAAACACACACCAGCAAAGTGGTGAGGCAGACTGAAAGACACTACTGCAATTACCATCTCAATTTTGGCTTGCTCAGCAGTCTTTTATCGATTGGGCATCCTGACAAAGCTAATGATGGAGAATTGCAACTCCAACAGCGATTTCTCAATTTCTGAGTTCAACCATACATCTACCCCTCAGCTGACATTATTGCACCATTTTTACATAAATCACAGCAAGACCAATTCACATCACCATTCTAATGACAGCAAATTATGGCCCAAATGAAAGTCAGTACTATGGAGACCATTGCATACACCATAATGTTAAAAGAAAATTGTAAATATTATATGGAAATATTTTAGAATGCTCTATTTTTCCCAGCTGAGGCTTTCCAGCTGATACTATGAAAACCTGTACTGAAAAATTTTCAAACCTAAAATTTGTGGCAGCAACAGAGTTACTACAAAAAGCAGAAAAATCCTGTGGAATAACTAGCTCCATAAAAACTCCTTTATCTCGCATTCATGTCTAATTATTGAGATTTTCTGTGAAAATAAAGGTATCAGAAAAACAACGAATTTCTTAAATCATCTAATAGATCAAAACACTAAGTGACCAATGAAGAGCACCATTTGCCGTGGAATATTTAGGGTCTCATGGCTGTGGCTGTGGCTGGGTTTAACAGTAGCTACAAAAGAAATCCAATACCTTTATGGTGGAAACATGTATTCTGTTGCTTTGTTACTTGCATATTCTATCGCCATATGATCATGATCAAACTGAAGGAAGGGGAATAAACATATGCTTGTTGTCAATAATCTTTGCAGCTGGGGCAAATAAAAAGAAAACCTGTATTCTCTGATTTATGTGGTGCATAAACTATTGCCATATTTCTCAGGGCTTCATTGTATAGTCCCTTGACACTCATGGAACAAAACTGAAGCTTAACACAAAGGCTTAATTTCAACTGACAAAGAATCCCCACTTGACATTAAAAGCTTAATATATTAAATTATTTTACTGTATTTGACCTTTTATTGCAACAGTAACACAAAATAGTTTATGAACATAAACAGTAAAGTATGAAAAAGAAAATAATTTATATAATACCTCTATTTACAGATCTGGCCAAATAGGTCGGGATCATGACAAGTAGTTCAGAGAGCAGAAAAGTTATGATAGAATTAGAAATTAAAAAGTAAGCAAGCGATTCTGGAAGGCAAGGGAAACAAAAGCTAGCTGAGAAAGATGTGAGTTTAGCAAGGTTACTGGAATATGTTTTAAAGCAAGGAGGCTGAAAAATAAGACAGGAGCTGGAAGCTCAGGTTGGGATACGGCAGTACAGTATAACCGTAAGTGAGATTTGACTGAAATATGGGCAGAATTGGCAACTTGAGATTCCTGATTGTAAGGGATTCAGACAAGATAGACTGAAGACAGAAGAGGAGGGGAGGGTTGCAATGCTGATCAGGAATCAATTATAGCAGTGGGGGAGGACGATATCTAGGAAGATAATCAAATGAGATTGTATAGATAGAAGTATGGGGGTAAGCATGCTGTTGGGTATGTACTATAGGCTTTGGAACAATCAAAAGGAGAAATAGAGGATCAAATATGTAATCAAATTTCAGAGAATTATAAGAATAAGAAGCCAGTAATAGTAGTAGATTTTAACTGCCCATATATTAACTGGTTTTAGTGTGGAAGTTACAGCAGGAACAAAATTCTTAAATTGTATTCAGGAAAAACTTTTAGCCAGTCTGTAGAAACTCCACAAGGGAGGGGACAGCTCCGCACCAAATATTCAGAAATGAAGCCTATTCGGGAAAGGTGCAGTTTGGAGATAATGATCATAACCCAGTTACAGATTTGATTTGATTTGATTTATTTATTGGCACGTGTATCTTGTTTCAAAATACAATGAAAAGTGTTGTATAGTGTCACCATTCTCCAGTGCCATCTTAAAACATAGAAAAATAAGCCAAAACCTAGAATATAAAGGCAGAAAAGTGAAGAAATAAAGTCTCCAACTTTACAGTCCTTCTTGTTAAGTGTTCCGTCATAGGCCATGGGCCCGGTGGCCAGGTATGAGTCCCCTGCCACCGCTGGAACGAAAGTTGTCACTCTTCAGTGCCACCTTGCCTCCACCAAAAGCCTCGCCACTATCAGTCCTAGCTGGATCTCACAAATGCAGATGTCACCAATGCAGCCAGGCACTGAACCAGCCCAAATTCGACTCCGTCACTGTCAGGTGTCTACTTTGGGCCCAACTCGCTGATGCAGCTGTTGCTGATGCCACCGGGTCTCATACTGGGCCAAACCTGTCTCCGCCGCCACCTCCATGGAACTGTGCTGGAAGCAAACACCGCCAGGAACTCAAACTTGCCTTCGCAGCAGCAGCCATGAGTCGGCACTAGGACCAGCTCAATGATGCAGAAGCCTCCAGGAACCCAAACCCGCCTCCAATGCCACCACCACAAGTCTGTACTGCTGGGCCTATTCGCTGCTGCAAACATGCTCTTCACCAGGAGGTAAGTAAATAAAAATAGAAGAGAAAAAATGAGTGAAGGCAGGAAATAAAAGAAATGAAAAGTAGGCGGAGCCCTGGGCTCAAAAGCCCTACTCCACTGCCATCTTACCAGAAGGATTTCGGATAGTTATGGAAACTATAAGGATGGACCAGAAATAAAAGGTTTAAACTGGGAAAAGGCTAATTTTACTAAGATTAGATATGAGTTCGCCGAAATGGACTGGGAGTGGCTACTAGCAGATAAAGCTGTGATAGAGTAGAGAAAGACATACACGGAGGCTATACAGAGGGTACATGGCAAAAAAGTGTTCCCATAAAGACAAAGGATGGGACCAAGACTACAGAACCCTAGATGTCAAGGGACATAAAGGTTAGGATTAAAAAAAAATGTATGGCAGAACTCCTAGAGGAGCATAAAAAGTGCATGGGGGTCTTAGAAAGGAAATTAGGAAAGCAAAGAAACTGCATGAGAAAATGTTGACAAAGGTTAGTAAGATTAGAAAGGAAGACTCAATACTTCTATAAATATATAAAAGAGCAAGAGAATAACTGGTGAAACAACAGAGATAATAGTGACCGTAAACATAATCTGCACAGGGACCCAAAAGAAACAGGCACAGTCCTGAATGAATACTTTGCATTAGTCTTTAACAATGAGAAAGGATGATGCAGATAGAGAGATCAGGGTAGAGAACTGTAAAATATTAGAAGAAATTAAGAGAGAGAGAGGAGGTACAAAAGGGTTAAGCAGACTTAAAAGTGGATCCATCTGCAGGCCCAGATGAGATGAATATGGAGGCTGTTCAGGGAAGCCTGGGAGAACACATCAGAGACCCTTGCAATAATTTTCAAGTACTCTCTAGCCAAAGATGAGGTGTTAATGGACTGGAGGATTGCTAAAGTTGTGTCATAATTTCAAAAGGGATAAAGAGATAGATCACAGAATTACAGGTGAATGAGTCTAACCTCAGTTGTGGTGAAGTTATTAGAAAGAATTCTGAGGGACAGCAGATATCGACATTAGGAGAAACACAGAACAATCAGGCTTAGGCAGAATGGATTTGCTAAGGGAAAGCAGTGTTTTGACAAACTTGCTCAAATATTTTGCAGGAGGTAACCATGTTGAAGATGTTGATGAGGGTAATGCATTTGATGTGGTCTATGTGGACTTCAGCAAAGCTTTTGTAAAGGTCCCCTAAGTTAGACTGGTCAAGAAAGTAAGCTCATGAGATCCAAGGCAAAGTGGTACCCTGGATTCAAAACTGGCCAAGATGCAGGAACCAGACGGCAATGGTAGAAAGATGCTTCTTTTACTGGAAGTCTGTTTCCAGTGGGGTTTCACAGGGCTGGATACAGGAGCTTTGCTGTTTCTGGTGTATACAGTCATACAGTTATACAGCATGGAAACAGATCCTTCTGTCCAACATATCTGTGCCTACCAGATATCCTAAACTGATCTAGTCCCATTGCCAGCATTTGGCCCATATTCCTCTAA